CCGTTGCTGTATCGCCCCCGAAGGCAGGGGGAGGGCCCCAGGCCTCCGTCTCGTAGGTGAGGGCCACGGGACCAGCTGTGAGCCTGGTGTCGGTGCCAGGGACGCTCTCCCTTCCTCGGGGTGAGCCAGGCCTTCCAGGGCCCGTCGGGAGACAAGTGACCCTCCTGGCCAGACACCTTGTTCGGCCCCTCGGGACAAGCTGCCCAGATGCCCCCCCAGGAGGCGGGGGCATGGCCTGGGGGCCATCTCATCACTTGTATCATAGAAACAGCCGTCTACCATTTTTAAACAACCAACATTTTTAAAGCAGAAAGTTCAGATTAAGCAAAAGTTTAGAAACCGCCACGTGGAACTCACACCCGGGGCGCCCCTGGCACCGCCTCCCGGGAATTACTCTGCAGACCCATCGGGGGCTCGGGGGCCTTGCTGGGTGCTGGGTGCTGGGTGCTGGGTGCGGGTGGTTCAAAGTGGCCAGGACGAGGGCCCCGTCGAAAACAGATCGTGCAAGTCGAGCGGGCCAGGCCACTGGGGGCTGCGGGACAATCACAGACGGACGGACGGACGGACAGACGGGGCCTGCTGACACGGGACACGGCGCCCCCAGCAGCCACTGTGCACCGGGGCTGAGACGCAGACAGGAAAGGTCCTGCCCAAAGTGGGGTCTCGGGGAGCGAGAGGCCGGCTCAGAGCTCAGCTCGGCCCCTCTTGGAGCTCCCTGAGCGAGAGTCCCCAGGTGACCGCACCCCAAGGCCGTCTGGGGAGGCAGAAGGGCCCAGACGCCCTGGACAGTGTGACTTTGAGGTGGCCGGAGCTTGGCAGCGAGGAGGACGCGATAAGAGTGCAGGAGGCGGGGCCTGCCCCGGGGACAGCCAGCCAGGCCCGCAGAGCCCCCAGCCGGCCCATCCCCCGGGCCAAGGGCAGCCAGAACATTCCAGCGCTGCCCAGGAGGTGCCTGGAGGTGCCGCACTGTGGAGCTCACGCAGGGACCTTGAGCGGCCTCTGATCCAGGAGACTCAGGGCAGGGAGCAGCCCCCATCCCGGGCTGCAGGGCCCTCAGGGCCCATGTCCCCATGTCCCCGCGTGTCCCCGTCCAGCGAGGTAGGGGTGGGCCTCCCCAGAGACCCAGGGAGCCAGCCCGTCTCCCAAGGGTGCCCAGCAGCTCGGGGACAGCCGGGCACAGCGACATGTCAGGTTCCCCACTCACCACACACACACCGGGGCCTCCTGGACCCAACCCGCTCCCCCCGCCCCAGAGGCACCCCCCTCCACCTCAGCCCCCACCCAGCAGCTCCAGAGGCTCAAACCAGGTCAGGACCCCGCCTGCCCCTAAGACCCTCAATGGCCGTTTGGTGCCTCGGAAGGAACCTTGCCTCCTGGCTGGGCTGCAGGGGCCCCACTGGGCTCACCTGCGGCTGAAACAGCCCTCGTCCCGCTGTCCATCCATCTGTCCACCCACCGCGGCCCCTGTGGTAGCCGGGCCCCACCAGCCCCTTGCCCAGGGCCCAGCTTCCCGAGCTGTTTGATTCTCAGGGGGGTCACCAAGGAGCCCCCACCGCACCGGGTCCTGAGCCCCACAAGGGCCGAGCGCATCCCTCCTGCTCGCCCTGCACCCCGGGACCTGGAGGTGGGCGGGAGCATAGGAAGGACCCCCGTGCGCATGAGCGCTGGCCACCGCTCGGTAACGGCAGGGTCCTCACGGCTCCCACCATGACCCCGGCGTCAGCACCTTCTAGAATCCAAGGCCTTCGCTGGGAGCCCAGGCAGGAGGGAGGCTCAGGACCAGGCCAGTCAGAGGGAGGAGGGAGTTGAGAGTCTGAGGGCGGGCAGAGACCGAGGCCCCAACACTGGCCACACCGGCCGTCCACACTCATGCCCAGGGACGCTGACCGCAGGGACGTATAGCAGCCCCCCCGCCAGGGATCCAGGGCCCAGGCCGGCGGCGCCCACACCCTCGGGAAAGGCGCAGGGCTGGTCCCCTGGAACGGAGGACCCTCTGCCTTCTAAATCTGGGGCGTTGGCTCGCTGGCCCAGGACACACAGAAAAGTTCTGTCACCGGAACGGACCATAGGACAGTGACCCACCCAGCCACGCCGGGGGCAAGGCTGGCCAGAGCCCCCCTGAGGAATGGCGTGCAGCCGTCCGAGGCTCCGTGCACCTGTCCACCACTCCATCCACCCACCTGTCGACCCATCACGCCTCCTGTCCATCCACCCCAACCCAGGGTGCATCTACCCAGCACCTCTCCCTCTGTCTGTCTGTCCACCCATCTACGCACCCACCCAGACAAGACCTTCTCCTGTTGTGCGGCGGCCGCGGCCCGCCCTCGCCGCTGGAGAGCTGGGTCCAGCTGTGCTCACGGGAGCTGAGCCCTGGAAGCCCGACCCCCGTGGACGGGGCTGCCCACGTGCACGCGGTGCCGCTGCCCAGGGGAGCCTATGCAGCCGTGAGAAGGCGCGCGGCCTCCCCACACTCCGCCGACGGGGCTGGGAGGGCATCCCCTCCTCACCCCGGAGCCTCCGTCTGCGTTTCCTCCTTCCTGCTCCCTTGTCCGAGTCACAGAGAAGCCCCTTGGGGCGGTGAGCGTCTGTGCTGGGCCGTGGCCATGTCGTGGCTATTGGATCCCTGGTGCGCCCGCCCCACCCCATGACTCAGTTTCCCCCTCTGCAACAGTGCCCCTGAGGTCAGCGTCCACCGAGGTCAGGAGGCCCATGGAGGTCGGGCCCAGGAGCAGGAAGTGGACTCAGGGGACAGTGGAGAAAGACCGCCCATCCTCGGACCAGGGCCCACGTGCTCCTCGCCCTCACTGCCCACTGCCCCCTCCTGCAGGGTCTGAGAGTGGCAGGAGCCTCCAGCCAGGGGGGCACCGGGAGCCACCGGGTGGGGCACATGGCCCGTCGACTGGCCTGCACTTTGGGAAGGCGGGCGGGCTCGGCCCAGCAAACCGCCGGGGCTGGCTTCCAGCACGTCAATGATTAACACCATGAAGGTGCCGCCAAAGCCGCCGGAAAGTCCTTGGGCCGGGCAGGAGCAGAGGGCAGGGCGAGTGGCACCGCGCCAGGCGTGAGAGCCTCGGCCAGGTCCTCATCCTGGGACCCTCCTGCAAACCCCTCCTCTCAGCCGCCCGGGCACACGGCCACTGCAGAGCATCCCTTCCCGCCCCGCCCCCATCCCCCAGGGAAGCCACCCTGCGCCCCAGATCCCGGGAGGCCGGGCGAAGGCAGCGTCTGCTGAGCGAACTTCCGAGAGCCGAACAATCGGAACCAGGAAGAAAACACAAGTGTAAGCGGAGACTTCCTCTGGGCGGGCCGGCCCTCTTCCTCCCCAGGCACCGCCGGGGCCAGCGCTGGGCCATGCTCCCGCGGGCCTGCGTCCCAGGCGCCAACCCACGGGGTGTCTGGTGGCCCCTCACCCTGGTGGCCCTCTGGCCGGGGGCACTGCGGCACTCCCTGGCAGCCCTCTGCCCACACCGCCCTGCCTCTGCTGGGCGCCGGCACCCAGGGCCACGGGATGGGCAGGCAGCCGGGCAGGGTCCCCTCCAGGCCCCACTCCCGGGCCTCACGGCGTTGGGCCCAGCAGGCGAGGGCAAGGAGGGACCTCGTGTGCAAGTGGCCCCACAAGCCCGGCGCCGGCTGGGTGTTTGCAGAGCAGGACTGCTCAGGCGGGGTCCCTCGAGGTCACGGCACGTGACACCCCGAGACCAGCCGCTGTGGGCCTGGGCAGTAGGGCAGGGGCTTGAGGACAGGGCCCCATGCCTCGGGGACACTGCTCTCTGTCCCTCCTGCCACAGAGGGCATGAGGGCAGCAAGCCTGGTGCCGCCCGCACCCTCAGAGGCCAAAGGGGAGAGGCGGAGGCTGCCTGCCACCGGCCTCACCTGCCCAGACGATGCTCCAGCGGCCGTCCTGGCTCCCGCTGCCCCCGCGGGCCCCCAGGGAGAAAACAGGGCTTGGACACCCCAGCTGCCCCCCCTCCCCCCAGCCCTGGGCCAGGCGAGGCAGCAGGGACCGTGGGAAGCCAGGAGGAGGCCACCCCACGCAGCCCTGAGACCGGCACGGGCACGGCAGGGTGAAGGCTCACAGAACAGAACAGAGGCTGGCACCGGACCAAGGAGCAGCTGGCGGGACCGCCAACACCAGGGCCACAGCGGGCGGCGGTGGGGCAGGCTCTGGGCGGGCAGCATTGAGGGTGGCCCTGAGACCTGAACTTCCTGGTGCCCCTGTCCCTGAGCCACCGGGTGCCCTGCCCTGCCCCTTGCAGGCATGCCACTCCGGCGACTGGAGCCACCTGGTAACCAGGGCAGGTGCTGCAGGGAGGGCTCACTTCCTCCCGCGGGCTTCCTGGGGCTGGCACGCGGGGGCCCCGTCCCTCTGCACCACGCGACACCCCCTCAGCCTCCCCTGCTTCCTCCAGGTTCTCCTGAGCTGGACCAGGTGTGAACACTCCCTCCCACCCCATCGCTGACCCTCAGGGAACAGCACCAGGCCTGCGGCCCTGCAGGGCACCGACCTCGCTGGGCAGGAGACCGCCCCCACCAGGGGCCTGCGGGGTCTGGGGTCTGGGACACTGAGGCAGGGCGCCGCCCCCTCCGGGAGCTCCTGAGCCGAGGGCGCCAGCCGCCCCTGGGCATTCTCTCCCCGGCACCCAAGGGCGCGCTCCCTGGCACAGGTCCCTTCCCAGAATGATTAACACCTGGAGTCCCGGCTGGGCACCCCTCCCCAGCCGGCTGCCCCCACGCACAGGCCTGGGCAGGGGCAGTGGGGGGCTCCCGGGTCAGCCAGGGTGTCCCTCATGGCCCCCAGGGTCAGACCCCACCTCCCTGAGCGCCAAGGCACAGGCTCGCGGGGTTCCCGTTTCTCCCCTTCGCCCTCCTCCCCTCCCCGCGCTCGGGGGCGGCGGCGCCGGGACCGCAGGTGGCGCGGGCCGCTCGCCCAGGCTCCTCCCCGGAGGCGGCGGCGGGAAAAGCCCCCCGGAGCCTGGAGGGCGGACCGGGCCGGTACTCACACGGCGAAGTGGTAGACGAAGCACTTCCAGCCGGTCGGGCGCTCGAGGAAGTTGTAGACGCGGCCCTGGACGTGGGTGCGCGCGAGCAGCGGGCGGCGCGCGCTGTAGATGGAGACGCGCGGGTCGAGGCTCACGGGCGGCCGCGGGCCCAGGTCGGCGGCGGGCGGCGCGCCGGGTGCATAGAACGCGCCCCCCGCCGGGCGCTCCTCCGCCAGCTCCAGCGAGAAGGGCGCCTTCCTGGCCGGGCCCGCGCTGCCCCTCCGCGCGCCCGGCAGGCGGCCCCAGCCCCAGCGCTTCCTCTCGGCCCGGGGCGGGGAGGAGGCCGCGGCCATGGCCCGGGAGGCCCGCGCGGGCCGGCCGGGCAGCGGCTCTGGGAGCTGCAGCCAAGGCGGGCGTCGGGGCGCGGAGCCGGCGGCCTCTGGTGCCAGCCCTGCCGCGGGGCCGGTGCCCGCCCGCCGGGCGTGGGGGCGGGGCCGGGAGGGGGCGGTGGCCACGGGCCGGTCCCTGGGGATGGCGCGCCCCGCCCCGGGCCAGACGCCCCGCCCCTGCCAACCGGCGCTCACGGGGCGCCCTGGCCCCGCGGGGAACCTGGCTCACCTGCCTGGTCCCGCCCCGCCTCTGCCCACCTGTCCGGCCCGCCCCTTTCGCATTCACCTGTTTGCCCTGCTCTCACCCCGTCCTCGCCCCACCCTCCGTGCTCGGCTCCGCCCGCGCCCACCTGCTCCCCATTCCCACCCGCGCCCACGTGCTCGCTCCCACGCCCACCTGCTGCGCTGCGCCCAGGGCCCAGCCGAGCTGAACCGGGAAGGAAGGCGCAGCCGCAGGTGCAGGACAGGCAGAGCCGGGCTGGGAGACGCCTTGAGGGGAGAGCTGGAAGGAGGGGCGTCCTGTGGCTCTGGGACTGACCCTCTTGGCACCGGAGGGGCGAAGTGTTGGTCCCCGAACATCTGAGCTGTCCCTGGCGCTGGGCACACCTGCGGGGGCCGGGGAGGTGCTGTGGGACCTGGGAGGCCCGGCCATGGAGGTCAGGGATGGCCCGCGGGGGCCCTGTGGTGGGGGGTGGGGGCCTGCGGGGAGGCCAAGGATGGGGTCTGGGTGGGATTTGACGGACGGGCATGGTGGGCGCGGCTGTCTGGGCAGGTAGAGGCTGGCATTGGCACGATAGGGGCCTGGAGAATGGTGTTTGTCCTCCTGGCCGGGGGTTCCCTGGTTGGGGTGGGAGTGTTGCTCAGAAGGTTGGCTCAGGCCCCCACAATGCCCCTGGCCACCGCTGCTTTGGGGTTTGGGGGCTCCCTGCGCGTGGAATGGTCGCCAGGGTGGGAGGAGGATGGGGTGACCAACAGGAGACACCGCCTCCGTCCGATGTTGCACTGGGGCCTGAGGACAACTGCCCCCCCCTCCCCGCAGGTCAGGGCCCCGTAACTCATGAGACTCCCCAGGTCTTCAGGGAGCGCCGGCTGATGTATTGGATGTGCCCCCCAGGAGGCGGCTCTTGGTGTTTGTCCATTCTCACCAGAGGGTGTTTCCGTTGCTTTTCAGAGGAGGGAGGGAGATGGTTAAACCCAGGTGCGTGCCCTTGACCTGGAGTAGAACCCGTCCGGTGTGAGGGCGGACGCTCTAACCCAGTGGTTCTCCACCTCGGCTGCACATGAGAATCACCTGGGAATCTTTTTAAAATCCTGATTTCTGGGCCTCATCCTCCGGAAATTCTGTTTCTTTGTTACTCATGCTGTGGCCCCACCCCATCACAAAGAAACAGAATTTCCGGAGGATGAGGCCCAGAAATCAGGATTTTAAAAAGATTCCCAGGTGACTCTCATGTGCAGCCGAGGTGGAGAACCACTGCTCTAACCACTGAGCACACTGGCCAGGCCGGGAGTCAGCTCTTGGTGGTGGACAGAGAGCAGTTGGGCCCTTCCCCGCCTCCCCCCTCAATGGCGCCGTACACAGAGCGAATGAGGGGAGGGTCCCGCCTGAGCTGGGCACAGGGAAGCCCAGCGGCCGAGAGCGAGCCTGTGAGGCAAGGAACCGGCGAGGAAGCCTGGCTGGGAGGCGTGTGGGGCAGGATGCGAATGGGCAGCGGGCAGCAGGCGGCAGGCGGCGGGCAGTGGGCAGCGAGCCAGAGGAGGCGGAGTGCCCGCCCCCGCGGGGCTGGGGAGCAGGGCACACGGCGGGCTTTCATTCGGCCACGCTGCCCGAGGGAACACGTGTGCGAGGGAACAGTATCTGCAGGAGGACGGGGGGGAGGGTACGGGGGGGACCGGAGCCCCAGGAAGACAGACCGCGAGGCGCCTGGGCTCCCAGCCGCTCACTCTCCGGTGAACGAGGCTTAACTGCATCGTTGGCGTGAGGCCAAGCAGGCTCCAGGCGGAGGGGTGGGCGTCCCTCCCGTCTGAACCCAGACCAGGTGTGGTCAGCGGGGAAGGCAGGGAGGGGACGCGCTGCCACAGGCCCGTTTAGGTCACGGGCAGCCCGGGCCGATGTGGCTCAGTGGTTGAGCATCGACCTAGGAACCAGGAGGTCAGGGTTCGATTCCCCATCAGGGCACAGGCCCGGGTTCGGCCTCGATCCCCAGTGTGCGGCGTGCAGGCGGCAGCCGATCAGTGATTCTCTCTCGTCATGGATGTTTCTCTCTCCCTTTCTCTCTGAAATCAATAAAAATGCATTTAAAAATAAAAAGTAAGCCGCGGGCGGAGAACGAACAGCACTGGCACAGAGCCTCGCACGCCGGGGAGAAGGGAGAGCCGCGCGGACGGGGGCAGAAGGCGGGTCCGGTCCGCGAGAAGGGCTTCCTGGCCTCTGAGTGCACAGCACTTGTAACAAGAAAAATGCACATGAAGGGACCCGTGACCCCACCTGACGGGAAGCCCAGACAGCCGTCGGCTCCGTGGGCGAGCGAGGGAGAGCAGGAGTGCGCGTGTCCCGGGTGGGAGGGGCGGGCGGAGCTCACAAAGCGGCTCAGTCCGTTGGGCCCGGCCGGTGAGTCCCATCTAGGCGCCGACCCAGAGATGAGAGAACAGAAAGTGATTGGCACCCAGGCTCTTCACGGCGACCTTGTTTGTGTAGCAACAGGCAGAAGGCCCCAAGCGGGGTGGGGGGGAGTAGGGGGCAGGGAGGGGCGCCCTCGCCTATAGTGCCGCCCTGGAGCCCGTGGTCAATGAGAGCTTTATCGATAACCCGCAGGGAGGGGCCGAGTCCTTGGGGGGCTGCTGGGGGCCCGTCAGGATACCCTGTGCTTCTATGTATGTTTCCAGGTTTTAAAAATCGCAAACCCCAGCTGATGTGGCTCAGTGGATGGAGCGTCTGCCCGTGGGCTAAGGGCCCGGGTTCGATTCCGGTCAAGGGCACCTATGTCAGTGGCAGGATCCTCCCCAGCCCAGGCCCTGGTCGGGGCGTGTGCAGGAGGCAACCAATTGATGTGTCTCTCCCCCTCCCTTCCATTCTCTCTAAAAATCACTAGAAAAATATCCTCGGGTGAGGATTAACAAAAGACAATAATAGTAAAATATAACATATAGACGGAAAGAGAGACCATAGACAGGATTCCTTTAAAAAACATCGTAACCAGCAGCCACCCAAGCACTGGGAGGCTCCTGGAGGGGTGTCCGCGCTGCCAGGAGCCTGCTCGGGGTCCTGGCCCTGTCGGCACAGGGACACGGGGCGGCGGGAGGCCCCTGCAAGCTCAGAGGAGCTGGTGGGGGGCTGAGAGGGGGGAGGGCGGGCAGGTGCACAGGTGGGGTGCCCCGGGCTGGGGCTGGACTGGGCTCAGGGACGGGAGGGCCCGGAGTGAAGGGGGGGTGGGCAGGGCCAGCCACGGCGCACTGGCTGCCCTCGGGTCCCCCCCGAGGAAGGCCATCTGCCCGGAGCCGCCTCCAGGCCTGCACGGCCCGAGGTCACTCTGGGCGAACTCACAGCCGGGGGCCTGGACGCAGAGGCTGAGGGATCCACTGAGGCGCCCCTCCCGGCCTCAGAACTTTCTGGAAACACTGCACGCACCTTCCCTGGGTGGAGCTTTTTTTTAAATCCTCACCCGAGGATATTTTTCCAGTGATTTTTAGAGCGAGTGGGAGGGGGAAAGACAGACAGAAACATCGATGAGGATCACGGCAATTGGTGCCTCCTGCACACCCTCCCCCAACCAGGGCCCGGGCCGGGGCGGAGCCTGTAACCGAGGTCGTGCCCAACCCCGGACCCTGAGGCCTGCAGGCCGATGCTCTGTCCACACGGCCAGGGCTGGCAGCACTTTTCACTCCCCTCTGCTCACCGTGCCCCCGCCCCCCCCACCCCCGGCCGTGGGGCCGGAGCCCAGCCGCCCTGCGTGTGGACTCACAGGCCCACACAACCCTCCAGGCCCCGACCCGGGCCCACGGCGCTGGCGGGAGGGGGCTCCCGAGCGTGTTCTTTGCTCTGAGGTTGGGTCATCTGGCGTCACCCCTTCCTGCGGCTGGTCTCATGCTCCCTGTGTGCTGACGCTCCCGGAACGCCCGGGGGCACAGCCAGCGGACCGGCAGCAGCCACTCTGGGCAGAAAAGTCAGGTTTGGGATTCAGGGTCGGCTTCCACCGTGCGACAGCCTTGCTGGGGATTTGCACCAACGGCTCGCACATTCAAGACGTGAATTCAGCCTGGCCAGTGTGGCTCAGGGGTTGGGCACTGACCTATGAACCAGGAGGTCACGGTTCGATTCCCAGTCAGAGCACAGGCCCGGGTTGCAGGCTCCGTCACCAGTGGGGGGCGTGCAGGAGGCAGCCGGTCAATGATTCTCACTCATCACTGATGTTTCTCTCTCTCTCTCTCTCTCTCTCTCTCTCTCTCTCTCTCTCTCTCCCTTCCTTTCTGAAATCAATAAAAATATATATTTTTTTGTTTTTATTTATTTTTATTTTTTTATTTTTAATATATTTTTTATTGATTAGGATATTACATATGTGTCCTTGTCCCCACGTTAACCTCTACCCCCGCCCCCCCGCTCATGCCCTCACCCCCCCGTTGTCCATGTCCATTGGTTAGGCCTATATGCTTGCATATAAGTCCTTTGGTTGATCTTTCCCCCTTACCCCCACCCTCCCCTACCTTCCCTCCAAGGCCCGACAGTCCAATCAATGCCTCTCGGTCTCTGGATCAGTCCTTGTTCATCAGTTTATGTTGTTCATTATATTCCACAAATGAGTGAGATCCTGTGGTATTTATCCGCTCTCCAGTTCCATCCATGCTGTGGCAAATGGTAAGAGTTCCTTTTTCTTCTTCCTCTTCTTAAAGAATACCTTTCAGCATTTCATATAATGCTGGTTTGGTGGTGATGAACTCCTTTAGCTTTTTCTTATCCGTGAAGCTCTTTATCTGACCTTCTATTCTGAATGATAGCTTTGCTGGGTAAAGTAATCTTGGTTTTAGGTTCTTGCTATTCACATTTTGAATATTTCTTGCCACTCCCTTCTGGCCTGCATAGTTTCTGTTGA